GGGCGGGTGCGGGGTCGTTTCTCACGTGGTGTTGTCCTCCTGGTTGCGGCTGAAGATGCGGGCGTCGGCGAGGCGCGGCGCCTCCTCCCCGGGCACGTGTATCTGCGCGCGCTCGCCGTCGTACTTCCACTCGCACGTGAACTTCTCATTCTCGAAGCTGAAAGTGAGCGGAAGGATGTAGAGGTGGCGGCCACATTGTATACTGGCAGACAGATAGATGTAGCGGCGACGTACCGTGAGAATATCTCGTGCACGCCGCGCGCGGGGTGCGCCAGCATGGGCTTCAGCGGGATGCCGGGCGTGAGGCGACAGTGCCGGGGCAGCTCAAGCGCGCCGTGCTGCAGCAGCGCCGGGACCACCAGCTCGTAGTTGGGGCACTCGCAGTACGTCGTCTTTATCACCAGCGCGTGCTCCTCCACCACCGCCTGCACGATAAGGTAGGTACACGTCCAGTTGTGGTGCGGCGACGAGGGTTCAGCGAGCGATATGTCTGGCGTAGAGTCGCACCTTGAAGTCATCGGACGACATGGTGTCGGCGCGGTCGAGGCAGGAGGCGTGCGGTCCGGCGGGCGGGGTGCGCGCGGCCGCCAGCGCCAGCGCCTGCAGCAGCGACTGCTCCGCCAGGCCCACGCGCAGCTTGCCCTCCAGCGACCTGACGGCACGTCCGCATCTCACCTCGCACATCTCATCTCATCTCATAGCACCACTCACCCGGCGGATATATGTACCTTATCAAATACTTGGCCTCGGAGTGGCGACACGCCACGAACAGCGCCTGGATCTTGCTGATCTTCTTGTTGACGGACGCCTGTCCTGAAGACGCGGAACGAACAGGTTAAAATTACACTATGCATCCGGTCCGGTCGAGGACGTGTTGCGGTCGTGTACGGACCCGTGATGGCGGCGAGGTCCTTGAGGGCGGCGTGCAGCTTGCGCACCTGCAGCGGGGCGGGCGCGCACAGCATGCGCTGCGCCGCACGGGCCTGCTGCGCCGCCGCGCCCAGCTCGCCCAGCCGCTGAGCAGCCGCACGAACCTGCGCCAGCGACCGCCCGGTGCACCCGCCCACGGCCTTCATCAGGTACGTCTCCGCGACGCCTGAGGGACGTACATATCAGCATCTATCTATCTCACCGGGGAGTCTTATTTGATTGTGGTTACCTAGCTCCAGTCCTAGATAAGCGGGGCCGAGCTGGTTGAGGCAGAGGTAGATGCTGGGCAGCAGGTCCTGCGGGGTGAGCGCGATGACGGAGCGGAAGTAGTTGCTGAGGATGTCGACCATCTTGAGACGCGCCGAGGTGGCCTCCACGGCCTCCAGCGTGCGGGCGAGGGCGAGGTACGGCACGGGCTGGCCCGCGGTCCAGCAAGCATCCTTCACGGGATGATACTTGGCCTTGCCCGGATTGTATTCCACTTCTGAATATTGTAAAGCAAAAAATAATATTTTGTATAATTGAATATATTGTGCATGTATTATAACAGTACAATGTTGTACCTGGAAGTAATGTATGTGTACTTGCATCCATTGTGTGTACTGCCACCACATCATCTTGTGAGCTGACAATCTTCTCTCTCTTCACAAAAGACCGCATCATGTTGTTACTTTCCATAAACTTTTCCATTGGACCTTTTGCTTTTGTTGCGCTCTTTGCTGGCGAAGGTGATTTCTTTTCAGTCTTAATTTTTGGTTTCTCTTCTGGACTTTCTGATCGTTCCTTAGGACTTCTCTGTTTTTTAGGAGTTTTAACTGATTTTGGACTTTTGTTTTCTTTAGGGCTCTTCTCATTTGGACTGTCGTATTGATTGCAGCTCTCATTATACTCAATAGTTTTAACATTATCCTGATTGCTTTTCGTTAATTTTGATTTGTTGCGTTTAGTTTTAGGTGAGGAATAAGTTTTTGGTGAATCATTTCTTTCCAATTTAACAGGAATTGTTTCCTCATCTGAACCTTTACTTAAATCCGCTTCACTTCCCGAGCTCTCAATTCTCTGTCTTTTAACTTTCTTTTTCTAAAAAAAAAATAATAATTTTAAATAATGTTTTATAAATGAAATATTTCTTGTTACGGTAAATATATAATTTGGACTAGAAGTAGCGAACAAAACAATATAAATAGTTTATAATGAGGTATAATATAATTTTTGTACTTTGTCCCTACCTTTGTTGAGGTGACGGGGGAGGGAGACCGGGACGCACACGGCTGCTCATTTTCAACACTCTCTGATCTCAATCTCTTTGATGATCTCTACAAAAGAATTGATAAGAAACATAATAAAATAAAATGTATAAAAATAGCTTTTACTTATCAAATTAATTAGTATACTATATCTATTACAATTCATACAAACTCATTACAACATATACATATTAACTTGTAAGTTTCTTCTTATTTTCCTGAATAGAAAATATTTGTTTGTCCACAAAATATTTATTATTGTTTATGGAAGAAACATATTGACTTTAAAGATTCTTATTGTCTACATAATTCAGTCTACAGAATTAGGGCTCTTGGAATTCTTTGGACAGTTGGGCTGAGTAGAGTGAGCCTATATCGTGCACACACTAAACTCCAACACTTACAACTAACTATGTACAGAACTCAGTGCCATTCACCTTTGTAGCAGCTGCAGACGATGATGTGTCTTCTGTCAAACTTTTGTCCGCACTTGACTTGTCCTGTAAATCAATAAATAATTATTTCAATGAACCCTAAATAAATTATAAAAACAAAACTCTAAGCACAATTCACTATTAGATAATAAAATGTACTGAAAAATGATAACTGACAATATAATAAAAATATCTAGTGACAGCACATGGAGGAAATACTTAACAATAAGAAAACCTATACAATCAATATACAAGTTCTTATTTAAGTTATTGATAAAATTACATTTAAACAGTCGATATATCCTATTTAAGTTGAAAATATTCTTATTAGTCAGTTACCTCCTTCTGACGGTCAACATTTCCATCAGACTCCTTCTTGGGTGTTATTTTAAAAAACGAGGTTATGCTTTTTTGAGACATTCTTCGTGTGTCGACATTCCACGATTTAACAACTACGGTATGCAAAATCTTATGGTGCCGGTTCACGAGACAATTAGCTATTCTACTTAATCTAAACAACTTCGATACGTTCATATATCACACTTCCTCCAAAATTTTTAATATTTAGTTATATACAAATAATATACAATTAAAGTTTCATAATTACATTGCTCAATTGTAATGAAGTATTTCTTTAAAACACTTGTTCATTTGTTGTGAATTGTGATAATATTTGGCGCGAAAAATGTCAATCCGTCAATGTGTTAATGTCAACCAATTGTCAAGTTTTAATTAACTTAGAAAATACGTAGATAAAATAAAAATCCTATAGGATTCGCTAACGGTAGAAAACTAGAAAACAATGGCAATGATTGTTACACCTATAAATGCCCATAAATATGTAGTGACGGTGTAAAATTTCTTCGGTTTTTATTTTAAAACCTTTAAAATATTCTTCAATGTTATTGTTAAGCCTATTGAAAGTATTTAAACATTGGAATATGGTAAAATTATTGAAAAAAAACCTACCGTAATAGTTTGTTCAGTACAAAATTTAATTTTAAGTATGGCCTCATTGAATAGAAATCTAGAACTTTATTTTGCTCCGGTGGCGCCCTCTAGTTTATGAAGTGTCAATTAAACGCGTGTCGTCCATGTTCCGAATGTGGTGTGACTTATTTTTGTTTTGTGTTAATTTTCAATGTAATAGTTATAAATGTGAAATGCTTCAACATGTGTTATCCCATATAGTTGAACCTTGTTCAGGCTGAATGGATCCCGCCGTCGCGTGGTATCAGCCCGAGCAGGAAGGACCCGCGAAGCGACTCTGGCTTCGTATTTGGGAGACTCAAAGTGACATAGACAAAATGAACTTAAAAAATTTAGAAAATTCTAACCCCAATGTGAATAAAGCCCCAGACTTTATACCAATTAATGACGTTAATGGTGAAAATAGGAACAATAATTACTTCAACCCCGCGCGGAGGAAAGCGAACGATAACCGCGCATCTACGTTTAACCTGAACAAAAACCACGATGCGCTCATAGGTGAATACGGCGGCTGTCCTTGGAGGCTGCCCAATTACAATTATAAGCCTGGTATTTTGGGGTAAGTGGTGACAAATTATGTTTTACAAATATGAAAAAGTGATGAGGTAAGGCATGAGTTGGTGAGGAAGTGCGGTGGCTGCGAGTCTCGGGGCAAGCAGTGCAGTAGGTGTCGGCGCAGCGGTGACAGCGCGGGCCGGTCGCTTGTCACTGCCCACGGCGACTGTCACTCGTGTTAACCTATCATCAGTTATATGGACCATCAGTCATTGAAATTGACTTAGATATATTTTATCTCGTAATTATTATTCTTGTACTTCTAATGGAAAATTACCAGATCAATAAAATATAAATTTGGCTTTTTTTTAATTTATATTGTTATTTTATTATTGTATATTTATTCAATAGGCTTGTAGCTTCTTTAAAAATCAATAATTCTGGATTTAACATTTAACAGTCATTTTTATTAATATATCCTAAATATTTTTTCTGTGATGTGACAGTTGGTTGTAGATACAAATTACATACTTGAATGTCCTCATCTGTTTATATGATTTTATTGAACCTCTTTAAACCTGAACCAACCACTGTAGTTTTATACTATCTATGAAGACTTCTGTATAGAAAAAGTTTTTGCATTTTAATAGTTTATTCCTACAAAATAAAGTTTGTAAACAATGAGCTCTTTTCCGCTAATCTTTGTTAAATTTTAAATGCAGTAGAAACATATTAATGCAATTTTGGTTAAAACAATTCATTATTAATTGTGCCAATCAAAATCATACATCTTACTAAACATCAAATAACTGTCTTAAAAACAAAACAATATATTATTTTGACTAACTATTGGCATTCCGTTGCATGTTTTGGTTTGGTTTGGTTGGTATTTGAAATAAATCTTTTACATTAGCTACATTTTATTCACATAAATTTTACTTCATTCACATTTCTCTGTTATGTAATTTAATTTCACTTTACCTCGCATTTTGAATATATAATAAATACAAAATTTAGTGTAATAGACAAAACCTTTTGGAAAGCATATGTTTTTAACATTGGCAACAAACATATTAGTTTTTGTGGGTAGAATGTTATAATGAATATAGTTTCATCAATTTATACTCTCTGGTCTTCTTAGTAATCTTATCAGAAAAGGAAAATAATACTCAATTAATTGTACTGATTTTCAGTAACTTTCAGTTTTTGTTTTACACCAACTTCAAAAAGGTGAAAGTTAACAATTCATTGGAGGGTATTTGTATTTACTTACAGTGTACAGTCAGCGTCATATAGATCGTAACAGACAAGATATGCAAATATATAGGTACATCAAAAGTAATCAATTATATCGGTACAACAAAAGTCCTCAAAATAATAGATACATTCACCCTGCTCAAATATATCGGTACATACACAGCGTCAAATATATGAGTACATGCAAGATGCTCATAAATATCGTAGCAGCCACAGCGTCATAAGTAACGAAGCAGTCAAGGTGCGCAAAAATATCGGTACATTTGACAAAATTGAACTCTATCTCTGTATACTTGTGATAAAATTTGGAATAAACTACTTCTGTTACATTCATTTGACACTTTGCATCAAACCATTTTTCAAAATTTACTAAAAGTGTTCGACGCGGATGACAGATATTAGGTAGATAAAACCAACATCAAATTTAAGTTTGTCATCATATATGCTAGTTTGGTCTCGTGGCCTTACTGTTCGCCGCCGTTGGTACGTAAGGTCGGCGGTTCAAATCCCAAGCCACTATTTTTTTTTTGATATTTAAACTTTTTAATTTTAATATCGAAGCACATGTAATTAAACTCTATCGCCGTAGTTATTAGATACTTTTTGATATTGCCTTGGACTAATGAGTTTGACCGTTAAAGTACTTTTCTATTTCAAACAAAAATGAAGGAGATAAAGCGATGCTATTGGCATGTAATTTGTTTATAACTCATGTTTGTTAAACTTGTACCTGTAAAAATAACACTTTTACTTTTACCTTTTACTGATGATTATATTTAAGAAACAAAGAAAAAAAACTGAATGTCAATATCCAAACTACATCAAATTTTTGGTTGATTGCAATAAACATTCCAGTGTGCGTGGGCGCGCACACATATGTAGATAACACTTGTACGTATAGTTTCCGCGCGTACCATTCTTAAAACCCGCAAAGACAATCCACGCTCCGCCCACTCACTTCCCCCCCGATGGTCTGACCTAATTGTTGTTAACTTTATTTAAATTTCTTTCTACCCGACAGCGAAAATTATAAAAAAAAAATTGTCGAGCAAAATTTTACATTACCAAATTTTTACTGGTTATGAAAAAATAACCCCATGATTGATAAAATGAAAAAAAGTAGCCTGAGATTCGAACCGGTAAACTTACATATTACGGCAAACATACTAGAATACTGCGCCAAACTAGTATTATATATATTGTGACAAGGCAAAATTTGATATTAGTTAATACGTATCTGTCATATTCGGCGTGACAAACTTTTATATTTAAGCGTTATGACAGGAGAAGAAAAATATTGGGTTGCCCAGTAAGTTCGTGCCGCTTTATAAGGAAAATTGAAACCCTGTCCTCTTAAATTTTTGGAAATGGTTTTAAATTATATTGGTACGCCTCTATACCTAAAACGTCTTTTATTTTTGGCTAAAATTTTAAAAATTAGTTTTTTCTCAACCAATGAAATGAAATTATTCACAATATAGAAATTTTTGTGACGTTTGATAATGGTGGAAATCCGAAAATGAATCCACTTCAGCTGCAGTCTATTGTAAGCTTTATATCGAAAATCAGAACGAACTTTCCGGACAACCTATAATGTTAATACAAAGTGTCAAATGAATGTAACAGAAGGAGTTTATTCCAAATTGTATCACAAGTATATAGAGATAGAGTTCAATTTTGTCAAATGTACCGATATTTTTGCGCACCTTGACTGCTTCGTTACTTATGACGCTGTGGCTGCTACGATATTTATGAGCATCTTGCATGTACTCATATATTTGACGCTGTGTATGTACCGATGTATTTGAGCAGGGTGAATGTATCTATTATTTTGAGGACTTTTGTTGTACCGATATAATTGATTACTTTTGATGTACCTATATATTTGCATATCTTGTCTGTGACGATCTATATGACGCTGACTGTACAACAAGATTTATGATAATCTGAATGTTTCAGTACTGTGTTATGTACCTTAATTATTATTTATTTTGAAAACTTACCTTACATGTTTTGAAACATAACTGTGAAGATTAATCTTACACATAGTGTACAAGTAGTTGTGATATGTTTGTGGCAGTTTGCCAACTAAGTGGCATTGTAACAATTAAATAATAATTAACTTGCCAACCGTTCATTATTATAATTTTAGAACAATGGTAATGAGACATTGGCTATTTCATCACCATCACTAGCATGTGACATTCATTGTGTTGACACGGAAGTTTATTTCTTATTAATTCATTTAAAGAACACTTTTATTCATAACAAACACTCCTGCTAGAAGTTAAAGATTAAGATGGCATGTTTTCATGTAGACTCGGATATGACGGCTGATAGAGATGTATGGAGGAGTAGTACATGCTGTGCCGACCCTCGATAGGGATAAGGGCAGGTTGATGATGATGATGATGATGTTTTCTTAACAATAAAATGTTATGTTAGTTCTTGCTTTTGTATTAATTATGAAATTAAATGATAGTGGATTCAATGTGTTATCAGTACCACTTATGAGTACAATTAATTGTTTAAAAGTTTTAATTTTAGTAAAGTGTTGGTAAAATTTCCTATATTGCTGTTATTTCTGGAACTTGCTTGTTATTTGTAATGCCAGCCAGCTAATATGCTGTGCTAATAACAACTAAGTAAATTAATTGTAAAACACAAGTTGGTCGACCAATACTAGACAAGTTGCATCAGCAGATCTCACATTTGATCAATTTTAACACCTCAGCACTTTATCATTGTTATACATGAAATATATAATAAAGTTCTTTATTTTTGTGTAAATCTAAGCCATATTGTAATAAATATCTATAAAGTCCCACTAACCTAATACCTACATTATAAATGAGTCAGTACACAGGTGTATATATACATTTGTATATGTTTGATCATGTCATATAACTTGATAATTTCCCGTCAGAGTGTTACCAACAATTGTTACTATTAATATAATTCTGAGGGTACAAATTATAATACATTTTTATTTAAAGCTTAACATGTATATGCAATTAATAAATTGTCATTTTGTGTCCAAAGACATCTTATATTTTCACATCAGTATTTAAGCGGTTGCCTGCTATTTCTTACGCGCGAAATAAAAATTATGTAATAATTAAAAACAGCCTATGTCACCAGGGACAGTGTAACTTTCCAACAACGGAGCCATGATGCAAATGAACAAGTAATTAAATCTTTTATTTGTATAGTATTAGGATAGATATAGAAGGTTTAGTTTACTATGTAGTAAACTAATAAAACTAAATATAATAATAAAGTTCGGAAACAAGACTTAGATTGTGTTTCCGTCCGATTGTAAGCATCGCTCCGGTGAAAGAAATAAAAATACAAAGACGTAATATAATGCGAGATACTTTGTGGATGTAAATATGTCGGTGACCAGCCCGAGCGGACCTCCGGCACAGGTGATATTGTGTGTGACTGGTGTGTCTGTGTAAGTGGTCGTCAGAACAACGACCTCGTTACGTAAGAGCGGCTCGAGGCAGCAGGCGCAGGCGGTTCGGTGTCGCAAGCAGTGCTGCAACCGCCCGGGCTATTGACTTCCGCAGGGAAGGTCGGACAAGGATGTTGCTCGAATGCCTTCGTACTTTGACATTATTTGCAAATATGACTCTAAACTCGACGAAGTGTCTACTAACTATGTTATTAGCGTGCTATGATGACAACCTACTTTTCCTTAACGTTGCCTTAAAGTTATATATGTTGAGGCACGTCAATGAAACGTTCAAACAGGCCGTTGTGCAAATCATAGCACACAGCCAGCTCATAGCGAGTATGTTGACACACAGTGTGACGTGTGATGTAGACGCAGCACGAACGAATACCACGTGTGTTTCACAAAGACTTCGCCGAATGAATGAAGTACAACATAACATAGCCTTCTGAAGGTCACAATAACAATTTTTGCGCGGGAGGTATGGAAGCACAGATCTCTATAAATGGATAGGCCATTGCTTGGTAATGACAGCTTTTGCATCGTTTCGACTTAAACGCGCCATTGTAGTTCCTGACAGCTAATTTTATCAACCGCAACTTTCAACGCCAAAGTGGCGTAAATTAAATAGTCACAAATTCTAATATTACTACGGTAGAGCTTGTCCATGTATACAGATCAGTATATGGGAGTTATTAGTCTGAAGTGCTTCTACCTTCTTTCTATTATACAGTCGGCATTGTATCCAAGTCGAGTTTCAGTGCCCTAAATTAGTGATAATAATCAAGATCTATTACTGTGAGCTGTATGTACCAACGTCGTTCCTCAGCTATAACTTCTCAATGATGTTTACATGTCCGCCTCGTTGTCGTTTTTTTATTTCCTATAAAAAATAGGGAATGCGGCGTTTGGCAGAGGATGCGTAAACAAACGCTAGTTGCTAGCCCCCGCCTCGGCCGCCACACATTCTATGTTTGTTTTTAATTCATTATTACAATAATAAATGCAAGTCGTATGGCATTATGTTTTATATGTATTCAGGATTGAAGTCATTAACTGAGTTGAAAGGATTATCGGTAATAATTTGACCGTTGGCTAAGCAAATATTAACACGTGCGTTTCCCATTAAGTTGTGTGTTTGTGTCGTGTGTGTCCCCACTGCAAAGTTACGTATTCATAACTTATCATTGATATAAATGTTTGTACGGATACGTTTATACGAGTATATGTGCTCTGATTCGTATTATAGTACGGAGCTGAAATGTCCACAAGAAACCGGTCCACCTTAGCAGGCTCGCGTGTTCTTGTCGTGGCGAACATTGGCGGCCTGGCTGCCTGGCGGACTGTTAACACCGCACGCGTTCGTTAGTGCTGAACTTGACCTATTCTCCGACCGGTTCCGATTTCGAATGCCCAGTATCATTTAAAAATTATTGAACGCTTTCGTTTCGGGCGTGTCGCGAAGACTCAGTAAGGGGTCACGTATTCTTGATGAATGATGTTTTGTTCTCTTGAATATCTTTATCTACCATGAATATATGAATAAGAATTTTGATCGTAAAATGATATATGAAATGTCAGTTCATTGGTGCGAAAGTGTTAGGCGTGGGCTTGGTGGTTGGTGGTCAGCCGGGCAGACGCATGACCTAAATCCAGGCCGCGCCCGCGCTGCACTAGTATTTTTAAACGGACACAAAAATGGGCGCAGTCGTTACGTCCGTATAGGAATAGACTGATGAATATCTACGTACGTCAGATATATTGAGCGCTGCGTTACAGCTGTTTAGTGCCTACACCCTACAGCAACGTAAGGGGAATGCGGACGTCGTGATTACATCCCGATTATCTATCGAGACGACCGACGTCTAGTATTAGAACTCTCACATGTAAAAATTCCAAGTCGATTATTGACTTCCGTTTCATAGCGGGTTTCTTTGTCGACCGAAGATTTGTAATGACATGGAGCAATAATTATAAGAATGTAGGGGTATCTGTAGATGTGACCGTGTGGTGCGATGAGACAGTGGTAAGGGGTCGCGACGCAACCTGTCTGTCTACAACAGCGGCTCATCACTTACTGTATACAATTCTGTGTATTCGCAGTACGTTACGACACATCCCACTTCCGACACGATAAACCGCTCACTGTTACATCATGTAAAATGATGCTATATTACTTTTTCAAATGCCTTGAATATATAAAAGATTTATTAAATAGAAAACTTTAGATCCCTTTTTAAGGGAAATGCGCGAACTCAACTGTTTTGACTCAGTCAAAGTTAACGTGGAGAAGTGAATAAAGATATTTTTATGAAAAACAAAAAAAAATAATTACGAATTATATTCAAATTTAGTGCAGTGGATATCTAAGACCACTAGTCACTAGTCTACGGAAATATTCCAAACAAAGACCTAACAAGTATAGAATAGTATTCTCTATTGTATGGTATAAAGATAAGAGATTTATTAGCGGCTGTACAGTGAGTGCAGTGAGTGTAGTGGATATGTAAAGGTCCCAGGAATTCCTTTCGATTTGACCTCGTGATGCCAAGGCCTCGCGAGCGGCGGCGGCGGCCTCTGCCGGCGCGCCGGAGAAAGTGACAGATTTGAGCGGCCTCAGCTGATAGGGTTCTTGTGTGAGTCGACATTATCGACAGTGCAGGCCACCGACACTCGGTACGCGGGTATAAAATGATTAAAATCGGACGTGAACTGGTTCCGATATAAGACTACTTTCGCAAACTATAAAAACTTGTACGTACTGTCTCTCACGTGCAGTAAAATAATGCACAAATATGGCAATAAAATTGATTATGAACAATGTTTCAAGGAATTTTGAATATTTTCCGCAATTATTATGTGAGGCATTTATAAGCAATGTCATGTATGTAGTTTTCCTTTCTTTCGGCTTTTATATTTTTACCGTTTTGTCATATTTTCGTAAGCAGGCTAAAAATTTGCACACTATGGGGGTTAGGGCGAGGCGACGCGAGACATGGGCCAGACATTGGGTCACCATACCGGGTCAGCGCTCGGCCACGTGCCGTAGGGCTTTGACCTCGCACACCCCCGCCCCCGCCCCGCGACACAAATCACCTTCCCTCTTAACCCCCCATCCCTCTTGCCATTCGTATTATCATTTGTACAAATTTTTATAATATGGGAATTATGAGACATACAATGTTATTATGATGTGTGTGTTGCAGGCTGCACGAGGAGATCGAGCACTTCTACATGTACATGTCGCCGACGGAGACGGAGCACCTGGTCCGCAGCACGGTTGTGACGCGCATACGCAGCGCCATCCTCGCGCTGTGGCCGCAGGCGCGCGTCGAGGTGTTCGGCTCCTTCCGCACCGGCCTCTATCTGCCCACCAGCGACATCGACCTCGTCGTCATCGGTCAGTACTTCGCCTCACACTACCTCACGACACCTCACACATGGTACCATAAGACAACAGCATCTGTTGCACGAATGTGTCAGCTCGTCCGGTGACTTACCATGACTATACAGAGGACAGACGTGAAGTGGAAACGCGTTTCGTCTGATGAGTGTATGTTCTGGCGGCCTCATAGGAAGGGGATTTATTAAAGGAAGAGAAAATATTCTCTTTCTGTGCGTCTCCTTATCCTTCGATTAAAGGTAGGCAACGCATTTGCAATTGCGAATATCCAGCGGGCGGGCAGCGGTCGCTTCGTTTGCCACCTTGTAATTAATAAAAAGAAATTATTATAACTTTTATTCGTATTTATCACTCGGTTGGTGATTCTAAAGTTCGTAAGAACAACATTATAAAATGGTTTTATTGATAAAGATATTATTCTCAAACATTTGTTTATCAAAAAAATAACGTATTTGTTGTACGAATACATAGTAGAGAGATAGCTTATCATACAACACGTTTGTTTTAAATCAGAAGACAGTATGTGTCGGCTTATCGTCCTAGCAACTGGAGGGATATATGTATGTATCATATATCACAGTAGGTAAGACTAGTACTACACTGCCAACATTCAGGACATTTTAAGCCGAGACCAAACATGAAGCCAAACATTTTGGAGATATGGAAGCATTTGAAATAAGAAGTGCTATATTTGCTGTGAAGTGTATCATCCAATTAGTAAATAATGAGCGAGCCGCGAGCCGCGAGCCGTGACCTCCCGCTCCGCTGACATAATTGCGGTATCTTATCGCACACTGTAGCTACATTATCTGTGGCCGAATGTGTTGCACATATCTAATCACACGACAACAACCTATACATTGCACTGCCACCGATTTCTTCACAATGGAACACTAGCCTAAATAACTTGATGTCTTTACCTTTTCGGTCGGTATTTGTTGGAGTCAGTATGCTATATTTACACGATGGCGTACACAGTATAGTACGTCATTGGTCATGTCAACGATTGCGCAAGCGCGGCCCATTCACACGTCGCGATGGTGGCGAGGGGGGGGGGCCTCACGTCACCTCTGTACACAAACTACTGTGTGTACGAATACGTTTCGTATGAGTCAGCTGATGACAACAAGTCCAAGTCCAACCAGCTCTGGGCTTTCTATAATTCGATTACGAATTCTACAAATGTATGCAATTTCAATACAATTAGGAAATAAGATGGCTTTGCCTCGTGTCTTCTCCGGCAGCGCGCTGGGAAATACCCATTGGCAATTACACTTTTGCTTTCCTCGAAGTTTCTTCAGCTGCGGTCTCTATTTTTCCTACTTATAAATTATTAATATATTTATTCAAGTAAACACGGAGATTATTTTGCCTTTGGAATTTACGTGTCATAGATTATTTGCAATCTGCATAAAATACTGGGTGAAACGTTTGGAATGTGTTTAAACAATATGTTAATAAGCGAGACATAATAAACATTATAATGAGAGGATGGTTAAAATGCATTTAAATGAGATGAACTAAAGATTGTCGTAGATATTTCCTCGATAAGAAAATACGTCAAAGTGAGGAGTTTGTATTATGTGGTTTTACGTGTTTAGCGGTGACGGCGGAAATAAACGCGTAGGAATGAGGAAGTGGAGCTGCGTGTATGGTAGGTACCACCCAGCCGCCGCGGACCCTTACCTTGTGTCACGTCATCTCACCTTGTGTTGTGTTGTGTTGTTGAGGAAGCAATCACATTTGGTACATTTATCTAATTTGATGAGAAACGATATGTCACACGATAAGCTCTCTGCCCCATATACGATTATGTTATCTCGTACAAGGAAGTTTCGATCATTTTTCTGTTGTTTATTTAACTGTATATTAACAAACAAACAAACAAATATGTCTTTCAAAAAATCTTAACCGTGTAAAATATTTTTTCTGTTCTCTTAAGCCTTTATATGGTTCAACACTTTGTTCCTTTTTAGTTGGCAACGTTACTAAAAGTTAGTACTTATCGGACGTAGGGAGGAATATTTAGATCCCAATTGAAGTGAACACAAAAATAACACTAATATTTTAATTTTTCAACTTAAATTAGTATTTAACGTTGAGACGTATTCACTACTAAGCATTATTCTACAAAACCGGAAAAAACTACATTAATTATTCTTAATTACACTACAAATTTAGAAATTTAACTCAAGCGATTCAATGTCGCAGCCGCAACTGTAGCGCGCCAATGATGTATGTTGTTGTTGTGGGGCGGCAGGTCAGTGGGAGAAGCTGCCGCTGTGGACGCTGGAGCGCGAGCTGGTGGCGCAGGACATCGCCGAGAAGGAGACCATCAAGGTGCTGGAGAAGGCCACCGTGCCCATCGTCAAGATGACCGACAAGTACTCCGACGTCAAGGTGGGCCCCTCCCTCGTCAGCTCTGTGTCACATGCGTTGCATAGCTCAGTCACGTCAACGTCACCCTATCCTGTGTTGCAGGTAGACATCTCGTTTAACATGAGCAGCGGCGTCAAGAGCGCAGAGTTAATCAAACAGTTTAAGGTGAGTTTGTACTGAACTTGTATGTTGACTTATTTTTCATGAAATTGGTATTCTTATGGATAACACTCTAAACGAGCTGTTTTCACTTAACGAAACATTTGGTGTTTCAGGAAAAGTACCCGGTCCTATCTCGGCTGGTGATGGTGCTGAAGCAGTTCCTGTTGCAGCGGGATCTGAACGAGGTCTTCACGGGCGGCATCTCATCCTACTCCCTCATCCTGATGTGCATCAGCTTCCTGCAGTTGCACCCGCGGCCCGAGCGCCTGCGCCAGCCCCACAACCTCGGAGTGCTACTCATAGAGTTCTTCGAGCTGTACGGTAGGAAGTTCAACTACGTGAAGACCGCCATCCGCGTCAAAAACGGCGGCTCCTACGTCTCCAAGGATGAAATACAGAAGGTACGGACTGAGATAACTCAACATCGACTACCGGTCAGCATACAAAAGCAGCAGTAATGTGACACGTTGTCGTTGTGATGCGTCTGCAGGAGATGAACGACGGGCACCGGCCGTCGCTGCTCTGCATCGAGGACCCGCTGACGCCGGGCAACGACATCGGCCGCTCCAGCTACGGCGCGCTGCAGGTCAAGCAGGCAAGTTGGCGCGCTCCTGGTACTTGTCTCGTGTGCGCGTCTCCACTGTTACTGAGCTAGTCATTTTACATTGCAGGCGTTCGACTACGGCTACATAATCCTGCAGCAAGCGGTGGGCGCGCACGTGATGTGCGGGGGGCGTGGCGCGGCCGGTGCGGGGGTGGGGGCGGGGGCGGGGGCGCGGCACAGCGCGCTCGGCCGCGTGCTGCGCGTCACCGACCACGTGCTGCAGTACCGGCGCTGGGTGCGCGACACCTTCCAGCCCTACTTCTTCCCGCGCGCCCAGCTGCTGCCGCCGCGCCCCCCGGACCCCGAGCTCGACCGCGACCGCGACCGCGAGCTCGACCATGACCGCGACCGCGAGCCCGCACTCGCCCTCGCGCTCGCACACGACACCGAGCACGAGCTCGACCACGAGCCCAGCGACAGCGACCAGGTCACCACCATATACACACTCTTAAAACCTGCTCTTTGACGACCCTTTTAAGAGATGAACTATATTAAAGTGTCATCGAACAGTTGTTCAATTTGTTCCTATTCACCCCGCAGGAGTGGTCGGACAGCTTAGGAGGCGGCGCGATGGGCGTGGGGGGCGGTGCCGGGGGCGCTCGCAGCTCGCCGCCGCCGCTGTCGGCGCTGCAGTGCTCCTCGCCAACGCCGCGCCGCGTCTCCGCGCACCAGAGCCTCATCATCCACCATATCACCAGCAATTCCGACTTTAACAACATCCCCTCCGGCGTCATGCAGCAGCGCTACGCCAATGCCAACGCAAACGCCAACTCTAACGCCAACACTGGCGGGGGCGGGGGCGGAGGTGGGGGCGGGGGCGGCGGGGCCGAGGGCAAAGGCCGGTCGCGAACGTTCACCGGCAAGCAGCGGCGCTACCCCGGCTCACCCCCGCAGCCGCCGCGCCGCCCCGAGCAGCGCAACAAGAAGCGGCGCCAGTTTCCGCAGCCGCCGCGATGATACGCGCGCCCGCCGCCCCCCGCCCGCCGAGCCGCGCCCCCCGCACGCGCCCCACACGCCCCGCACGCCCCACACGCGCCACACACGCCCCGCACCTCACACGCCCCACGCTAACGTACCCGCATACGTGTGACGTCACGCAAACCTGCTACTTATTGTACACAAGATTCGGACATCGCACGAGACTGGATGCGCGTGTGGTGCGCGTGCGGTTTACGTGCGGTGTACGTGCAGTGTACGTGCAGTATACGCGTAGTGCCCGCGCTGGGGCCGCGGCCGGCGCCGACATAGACTTTGGTATTGAGGCAGTTGTTCGCGCACTTGTCACACAGTTACGAGCTATTTTACAGTACAAATATATTTATTAGCCGTTTAAGATCTCCACTGAGCAATAGAAATAACAACTTTTTTAGACTAAAATTTTATCAATGCAAAAAACTTAATTTTATTATATAAATTCGGTGAAAGGAACCAGTTGCTGCTTATCGGATAAGTGATATAATGTTAATTATGCAAATAGTGTCATAAATGTAGTATAAAATAAATAGTGACGTGTAGTATGTGCGCTCATTGTTATTGTTAACATACTATGATATATACAAATGTTGTAAGTCTGCGCACCTCAAGTACTGAAACTACTTCATTTATAAACCTTTTTCTTTTAATTATGTCTAAATTTACAAGTAAAAATAACCAAGTAAATATGTTGTATCATTCTGTCTGTTTGAAAAATTTGTAATAACATATTGTAATGTAAATTTGTTGTATGTGAAGTCGCAGCAATGTATATGAGACCAACAATATCACTGAAGGAAATGTAAAGCAATATTTAACACTAAACAAAAAATCAGATGTTATTTTCCTTATCTATTTAATCTTTTCAAGTTATTATATATTTAATGTGATAACAATTTGTATGAGATTAATTTGTAAAACCAAATTAGCTCGTAATTGTGATAAATGTGATGCTGTAAAGAATAAATTAACATAAACTGTAACAATGGCCACCAGTTGGAGTTATTATAGGCTTTTCAAGTACATGTTGTGACATTTAAAATGATAAAGTGGAAGCTGGATAAGAGAGAAAGCTATCCCGGTCGCTTTCACTGTAACCGAATGAGTGTAGATGTACGTGTAGATGTCATGTTGAGTGACGTATGTATCGAAGTGTTCCTAGCCAAGCAATATACTGCTCTACTGCAGGGGTTGTGTGAACTGTTTGTTTGTATAACAATAACACCAATCTAATAGCAATTAATACTCTAGCGGTAGTGTATTTAGCTTTATTATTGAATAACACTTTTGTAATTGTCCCACTTGTTCTATTTTACATTTTAAAATCAATGTTAAGCTTTGACGAGTGCTTTACAACGTTCATATCTATCTTAAAGTGCGTGTAACTTTTTATTAATTAGAGTCGGTTTACATCCCGACTTTGTGAATTGTGTGGTGTCAGATTTAGTACAAATGAGTCCCGTTCGTGGGATATGAGGCGTCGTGTGCGTCTGGTCACTGCCGATGTGTTGCTGTAATGTGCGCGTGTCTGTTTGTCTGCTTGTCTGTGTGTCTGCGTGTCTGTGCACGGGACGTGACTGGTCAGAGTGTGGGGAGCATTGAGAGTACGAGATACATGCTGTCTCTTATGGACCCATGAGATGAAAAGAGGAACTCTTGTGAGATATTTTAAGAGATGTAACTCTTTTTGTGACATGTGAGTTAATGGAGTCTAATGATGTAAATTGTAAGCTCTTTATAAAGTTTAAGTTAATTAGGAGTGACGTAAAGTTGTTAGAAAGAGACGGCATGTGATGTGTGTGACGTCTCTCCCGCTCAGTCGCGATTCGAACAATGAAGTGTTGATCCTTTTATAATTTATAAGAAGAGTGAAAATGATTAGCTCGATTCAAATGTAATAAGTCGGTCGGTCGACGGTCAGTGATACACTGAAATTGTTACATAATGTAGTAAGTTATTTAGGAGAGAGGGAGAGCGCCGGCAAGACATAAGACTATCTCAGTCTACAATAAATTAAGTGATTACTCGCAAACTTTTGCTAAATAATAACTTAAAAATATACTAAAAATGATATTATGTAAAGTGTGAAACTAAACGTAATGGAATTAGTCGTAAGAGCTCGCGTGCGCGCCGGCACCGGCACCGGCACCTGCGGGCGATGACTACCTTCGGACACTCGTAGCCTTCGTGCCCTGAAGGACTGCAGGCACTGCGTGCCCCGCGTGTGAGAAGCGTGTCAGCCGTCGCGCCGCTCTGTATGTCTGATAGGTTACATAATACGTTGTACATAGTGACGGTTAATTGTAAGTGTACATACCTACATACATACAGCCTGTACATATTGTGTAAATACATTGAAGATATATTATATATTTAATATTAATATAAAGTTTGATTTTAAAAAGTTTTAAAATAAAGTTATAAAAAATCCCAAAAAAAAGATAAATTTAAATAAAGACATACAGTGAGTATGAAGCGGAAAACCAATCTTGTCTTTTATTTTATGAATTCCTAAAAGTTTCTTTTGCTTCCTGCGACACGACCGCCCGTCCGCTCTGCTCGGCGTCAGTCAGACGACAGACGTACGTGGTGTACACTCTGCGGCTGACGATAGGTATACGCAGAGATCGAACGATCCCACCTAAATAATGAGGTGTAACGACACTATTTCACAACAATGAAACTCATTACTCATCTGATTGGATAATTACGTGAAGGCAATTGGAGCAATGCATGTGGGGAAATGCTAACCAGCAGTGATCTGAGACACACCGATGATGATGAATTGGGTACCTTTAAATGATTAAGAAATGTGAATTCGCATTTTATAACCACAGATGATAAATTTACCCTTCATTCAGTGCTACATTGTGCTGCAACAGATGACGGGGTATCGAGTTCTGCATAGATTGAGAGCGCTGAACTGTATTCGAGGATTTCTTTATTCAATGTTCTGAGGGCCATTTTAGCGGCACAAGCAATTAAATTGCCCTTTTATGTAACTTTTGATCAGAGAGGGCGTTACGATACGTCGTTCTTGCAGGACGCTCTTTACTGAGACTTTTGAAGAACACTTCCTTTCAGACAGACCGATTGAAGCACGGTTTTATTTTACTTTTCATGTTTTTTTCGCTTTTAGAAAATGGTTGCAAAATGAAATTGAACCTTGTTAAAATCTTACAAAGATTAATTTTATTTGCGGTAAAGAATCTGCTTTTCTCTGCCACACTTTTCCTGACATCTAAAACATTAAAGTATAATCGTTCGTAAATCGTTACATACGTAAGCTAGAAAAACATGAAAGCAATAAAAAACTAATTAACAGGCAATTTGTCCTTTAACCGTTTGTTAATAAACCAGTGAGCCTTCAGAGATGTCGCAGCAGATAACAACAACAATAGCTGACTCGGGAGCAGTGGGGGCAAGTCTGTTCACACACACACACACACTGAACTGACACGAACTGTTCAGTTTGTGCATTGATCATACTAAAGTGCTATTTGAAAACGAAAGACAAATACGACTTAATTCAAAACAAAGGCAAAGTTGACTTTTGAATCAATGGGTAAAGTACACTGCTGACCCAAGTGTCGAATCACTTTTGTAAAGATTATAATGTATTCAAGAT